GATTAGGAGCTGTGTCCTTTTTTTGAATTTAGCTTTTCCCACTGACCCATGAGGAAAGCATGATGCTAACAACACCTGCTCTTCTGTAAGTGCAGAGAAGGTGTTGAAGCTGATGCAGAAGCCTACATGTGCCAGGGTTCCCAGAAATCTTTTTCCTTTTTTTGAGTATTTTACTTATTATTTTTATTTTATGTATATGAGCTTATTGCCTGCATGTCATGCAGTGCCCACAGAGGTCAGAAGAAGGAGTCGGATTCCCTGGAACTGGAGTTACAGATGGTTGTTAGCTGTCATGTGGGTGCTGGGACTCGAACCTGGGTCCTCTGCAAGAATGGCCAGTGCTCTTAACTGCTGAGCCATTTCTCCAGCCCCAGAATTTTTTTTTTCTGGTGGGAGAAATGTTTACAGAATAGAAAAGGGATTTTAGGGCTGGGGTGTGGCTTAGTAGTACAGCCTGTACTTAGTATGTGCAAAACCCCCAGTCAAATCTCAGCACTTAAAAAAGGGAGAGGGAGCAGGTTGGAGAAATGCCTCAGCAGTTAAGAGCACTGGCTGCTCTTGTGGAGGACCTGGGTTCAATTCTCAGCACCCACATGACATCTAACAATCATCCATAACTCCAGTTCCAGGGGAATCCGATGACCGTTTCTGACCTCCGAGGGTATTGCAGGACATGGGTGGACTTACATATACGCAGGGAATACAATCATATACATAAAATAAAAATAATGAATAAAATATTTAAAAAAGAAAAGGTTATCTCAGACTTTTGCTAAGTTTATGTAAGGGTATGTCAGGGGCGTGGAGCCACCCAAGGGATCAGCTTGAGTCTGGGAACCTCAGGCTGACACACAGCTGATTCTGCCTATGATTTTCTTCTGAGCTGGCAGCAAAACCCCAGGTGGAAATGAGGCAGGCTTTTGGGGAGGTCCCAGAGAGTGGTGAGAATGGCAGATGCTGTAAGTGGCATGTGATAGCTCAGGAAGGAAAGGGGTGTGGGACTGAAACCCTGGAGACAAAAGTAAGACCAACAAGATCTGGAGAGATGGCTCAGCAGTTAAGAGCCCTGGCTGCTCTCGCAGAGGAACCCACCTGGTGACTAACAACCATCTGTAACTCCAGTTCCAGGGGATCTGACACCCTCCTCAGGTATTGCATGCATGTGTGCACATTATATGCAGGCATCACTCATACATATAAAAATAAATGAATAACAATTTAAAAAAACAACCAGATAAAAGGCAATGACAAGCAAATATTCCCCCTGAATTTCAGTGTGCCCCTGTCTTAAGATACCCTCATTATGAATTTTCCACTTAACTGCAGAAGGGGGGAAATTGTGAGAAATGTTCTACAACACTACTTAGCATTTCAAATATAGTTCCATTCATTTATTGGGCCACTATTATATACTATTCTAAGTAGCAGGGATATAATGATAAGCTAGGAGACACATCAGCGAAGTGAAAGCAAAACAAAAACAGGACTGGGATGAGATTTAACACAGAGTACTTGCCTAGCACATTCAAGACCATGGGTTGGTTAGAAAATAAAACAAACAAAAAGCAACCAAATAAGTATACAGATAAAATAATCTTAAGTTTTAGAAAGTGGCATAAAAGAGCAAGCAAGAGCCGGAGAGGCTGGGCAAGGTAGTCAAGAAAGCATTTATATAGAAGACAAGCTTTCAAGTAGAAAGCAGTTGCAGATATTGCACAAGCCTAGTTACTGTTCAATGTGTTTTGTGATGGACAAACAAGGTATTTTCCCACAAAGGTGGAAAACCCCAAGAGAGGCTACAGAGAGGAGAGGCCTGCTCCTCAGGCCCGGTTACCGTAAGCCCTTCCCTTCCAGGCATTTTTTTGCCAGCAAGAGTTGAGGCTGGGCATGAGGTTTGGACTATTTGGCAATAGTGAGACAGTTTCATCCCCCAAATCAGCAGTCCAGGGGTAAAGCTGAAAAAGCCCAGAGGTACCCCAGAAAGAGCCCTGATGACTGAAGCTTGGAAAAAGTTCTCGAGTATTTCTTTCTTTAAGAATATTTTATTATTTTTTTATGTGTATGAGTGTGTTGTTTGCCTGAATGTAAGTGCACTCATGTCATGTAATGCCCACGGAGGTCACAAGTGGGCATCGGATCCCCTGGAACTGGAGTTATGGATGGTTGTTAGTGGCCATGTGGGTGCTGGGAATTGAACCTGGGTCCTCTGCAAGAGCAGTCAGTGCTCTTAATCACTGAGCCATCTCTCCAGTCCCCTCTCTTGAGTATATCTAAGTAAGTTCATTTGTGTGTGTGGTTACTAGGTGCATGTAAGTAGCAGTGTGTTTAGTTGCTATAGGGCTTTAGTTGAGCAAGGCTTGGTACTCGGTGCACAAAAATATTAGTACCTTCTTCTTCTCTCCTCCCTGACTGTGGAGATAAAAACCGCAGGAAGGTAATCACCCATTTTACCTCTTCCCTGATTTATGGGCACCGATTGTCAGTGTGATGAGTGAGTGTCACAGTGAACATCGGCTAATCACTGCTAGAAAGTTGCTGAAGGGGGTAGGGGCTACTGCCGGGAAGAGGGAGTCTTGGATTCAGGGATTTTTTTCAGACCTTGACCTTATTTGCAGTGATGTCATCAGTCAATATTGGCATAGTCATGGGAGATATCTCTTTCCCAATAGGGCCCGACATGGGGGTGGTGCTGTGATCAACTCTGTATAAGTTCAGCCCAGTGACCAGAGCTGCCCTGTGTCCTTTCCAGCTCAGCATGATTAGGACAGTGGTAGCACTAGTTGCCTTGGCATTGCTGGGCCTGTGCTGGTCCTTGGCTGCTGCCAGTCCTCTTCCTTCGTGAGTAGAGATGGGATGAGGGATAGAGGGTTGTGGTCTTGACTTGAGTATGATGAGGGCAGTTTTTAGACCCAGGTCCAGAGCTAAAAGAGAAGGGTTGTTCCAATGGACTCAGATATCTGTGTTTTCTCTAGTGCCCATGGGAATGTTGCTAAAGGTGAAGGTGGGCCCAGTCCAGACTCTGATGTAATTGGTGAGACCCCCAGTTCCCCAAGTCTTTCTGTCTGCTGTGTCTCTGCATTTTATCATCTTACTAATATTTTTCCCTTGGCATCTCCCTATCTCCAACCCAGAACGTTGCTCAGATGGCTGGAGCTTTGATGCTACCACCCTGGATCACAATGGGAGCATGCTGTTCTTTAAAGGTAGGAGGGAAGCTGGGTATGATGGTGCATACTGGTAACCCCACTAGTAGGGAAGCTGAGGTAGAAGGATCATGAGTTCAGGACCAACCTGGGCTATACAGATGATCCCGTCTCAAAAACGAAACAACCAGAGGAGGAGATGGAGGAGGAAGAGGAGGAGGAGGTAGAGGAGCAACAGCAGCAGCAGCAGCAAGCTAGGGTTGGAGTATTTGGGATCTCACACATGATCCCCCGAAGAAGCTTTTCCACCTGTGGGAGGATTCAGGGATTTTCTGAGGGCAACAGTAACAGTTTCTTTCGTTGCAAATATCTCAGTCAGCCAAAGGTTTGTTCTGGGACTCAGAGAGTGTGGGTCTTTCAGGGGAGTTCGTGTGGAGGAGTCACACAGGAACCCAGCAGTTAATCTCAGAGAGGTGGAGTAATAGCACCAGCTCAGTGGATGCTGCATTCCGTCATGGTCCCAACAGTGTCTTCCTGATCAAGGTACTGCTGGGCAGAGGGCAGAACTGAACCAGAAAGGGCTGGAATCGACACTAGAGTCTCTTCCACAAGTGTCTCCCCCTCAAGTGTCCCTGACATGGAGCCTGTCTTAGTACATTTTTGTTCTTCTGCTGTAACAGAATTCCCAATACTGGATAATTTGAATGAGTATAAATTCATTTGACTCATGGTTCTGGGGCTTGGGAAGTACAAGAGCACAGTGCTAGGATCTGGCAAGGGAATTCATGGTGCATCATAGCATGATAGAGAGAGGGCAAGAGTAACAGAGCAGGAGGGGTCCAAACCTGCTTTTATAGAGCCCACTCTTTCAACTAACCCACTCCCATTTCATACTGAGTTGATAATGACAATCCATTTGTGGGAGCGAGGCTCTGATAAGCTAATCACTCCTTATTAGGCTCCACCTCCTAGCACTTTTGCATAGTGATGGTTTCCAGCACATAGCCTTGAAGGATGCATCTAAATTATAGCAGGGCCCATACTGATAGATTCTAGGTTTCCTTTTGAAGGGAGTATGTGTGCATGTGGGCCTGAAAAACACAATCTACAATAGCTATTCTTCAGTTCTAATCTAGTTATAGCTGACTTTGCAATACCTTAGTGTAATAATACCTAGCTGCAATTTATTTTCTTGGCTTCTATAACCCTGTATGGGGTCCTATTTATATGCGGGGTGGGTTGTTCCCAACAAACTGGCATCTGGCCAAGGGGATGAGTGGAGGATGAAATACATTGACTACTGTGATCATGAAACTGTCCACTCAGAGGAAGGGACACCTTTTCCTAATTTACCAAAGAGACTGTGTTATCAGGGTGTCCCTGACTGCTCTGCTTTCCCTCCTGCCTCTTTGCCCTCTTTTCTCACAAGTCCTTAACCAGCCTCAAATATTCATTCCTTAGAGATCCATTCCAAGCCTTTCCACAAACCCTCCCTGAGTGATTTCAACCCCTGATATGACTTTGAGGGCTCTGTGTCCTGGACACCAGATCTAGATCTCTCCTAAACTCTAGACAACTTTTCTGATTTCTCTGACTTAAATGTTCCACAGGTACCTCAAATCCAGCATCCCAAAATAAATTTAGCATCTTTTCTTACAAAGAAACCTGTGTTCTATGTTTCCTGTTTCAGTAAAGGTCCCACTGTATGCCAGGTGCACATGGGTCTCAGGAATCTAGCCTTGGTTATCCCTCCCCACCCCACCATATTCATTATGTATCAGTCACATGAGATTATACAAAGTTTTCTCAGTAAACTGTATGGCTTCCTCCTGACTCTGAAACCTTCTGAGACTTCCAGACAGTTAGACATTTCCCCTAGATTCTAATACACTTTGCATGCTTTCCACCTTGGTGGGGCTACATAACTAGGTAAACTCGGAGTTAAAGATAGTATCTTGCCATCCCACAATGCCTAGTGCTTCTCCTAATACTTAGCATGTAATAGCCATCCAGTAAATGTTTCTTGAATGAATTCTTAAATAAATGAGTAGATGAGTGTATGAATGGATAGGTGATTACAGGATGAATATCTGTAGATGTGCTTGCCAAAACTGAGAGTGCTTTAAGTGTGCCACAGGAATGTCTGGTTATACATAGCCAGATGTGTATGCCTTATGGTAATGTGACCATATTTGCTGAGGATATGCACTGTGCATGGGGCAACATGTTCTCTGTTGAGGGACTAAAAATGCATGGAGCCATAAGAGGATATTGTCTAAGTGAAATAGAATAAAACTGTGTGTGAATACAGAGTGTCAGTATCTGGGATTAACAGTTTCAAAGACAGTACTTTTGGATGCAGGGAGACAAGATCTGGGTGTACCCTCCTGAAAAGAAGGAAAATGGATATCCAAAGTTGCTCCAAGATGAATTTCCTGGAATCCCATACCCACTGGATGCAGCTGTGGAATGCCACCGTGGAGAATGCCAGGATGAAGGCATCCTCTTCTTCCAAGGTCTGTCCAGACTGGAATTCAAGAATGTGGAGTTGTGGTGGGTTGGTGGTGATGGAGTAGGGTACTCATGGTGATGGTGGAAGAGCCTCTTTTGGCTTTATAAGGAGGGAAAATAGAAAAGCCAGTTACAGTCTAGAGGTCAAGTAGGGGAACAGGGAGAATCATTCTGATGAAGATAACTGGGCTAAAAGTTCTCCTGTGTTCCCCATGACCCTGGGACAGACCTGTGTTCCTTGATCTTGCACATACATCTCACCGTGACCAAACCCCTATTGATCCTCCAACTTAGACTCTGGTCAGACTCTGACCTTGACTTCTAAGCCCCAGAAACTCTACACTATTATCTGCACACCAGTTTCCCTCCAGCTCCCCTTCTTGTCTGCCTTGTAATTCCCACCTGATTTCAATTTGTCTCACTTCCCCTGACTTTTCCCAGTTCTTCCCATTGCTGAGTCGACTGTGTACACTCTTTGCTGAGCTTTGTTGTATCATCATTCTTTTCAACTGCCTCCCTGCTGTGCTGTGTGTTCCATATCATCATGCCCTGTCTCTGGCCCATCCTAGGCCCCTGTGCAAGCACAAGGGGGGCAAGACCCAGCCTCACTGAATGCTTTTTGATTCATTGACCATAGGTGATCGCAAGTGGTTCTGGGACTTTGCTACAAGAACCAAAAAGGAGCGTTCCTGGCCAGCCGTTGGGAATTGCACTGCAGCTTTGAGGTGGCTTGAACGCTACTACTGTTTCCAGGGTAACCAGTTCCTGCGCTTTGACCCTGTCACGGGAGAGGTGCCACCCAGATACCCTCTGGATGCCCGAGACTACTTCATGTCCTGCCCTGGCAGAGGTGAGAAAGCCCCAGGCCCTGGGACCTACTGGAATTCTCCCATGCCAGCTGAGCTTACTGATCTCCTAGGCTCAGCTCCCACCTTAACTCTGTCCTCTAATGCCTTAGCTCTTACCCTAGCTCCATCTCCATCCCAACTCTTCCAATTATCCTCGTTCAGGGGAGGCCCACATTCCTACTAACCCTACCCATCTTTTCCTCCTCAGACCCTACCACGACCTCTGTTACAATCACCCATTTCTCTTCCAGGCCATGGTAGACACAGGAATGGAACTGGTCATAGGAATAGCACCCATCCTGTGTATTCACGCTGTGGCCCAGATCTTGTCTTATCTGCATTGATGTCTGACAGCCGTGGTGCCACCTATGCCTTCAGTGGTGAGAGACTCCCCCAGACCCCTACTCTGACCTCCTATCTCTTCCTCTTGTGCCTCTCTTCTGACATAATTGTTCCATTTTCATCATCAGGTCTTGTATTCTGTCCCTCTATCCCTCACCCCCTAGCATGCCCTCTTGTACTCATCTCCTAGATGCTGCTTTTCAACCTTATCTCTCATTGCTCAGGCCTTCCTTCCACTTCACCTGCCTGTCTACCTCTCAGTGTTATCTACCCCATGTCTGTATACTCTGTCTTCCTTGCCTAGTACCATGCTGAGTCCTCTAGTGCTTGCTTGCTCTCTGGACCTTCCTGTGTCTGTTTCCTTGTGTCACTTGCTCTCACACGCACGTGTTTCTGAATACCCTGGCTTGCTCTTGATTTATTTCCAGGAACTCTATTTTTCCAAGGTGTCTAGTTCTTATGCCCAGGCTTCTGGACTCAGCATCATCTGGGGACAAGATGTTCCCATTGCTAAGAAACAGAAAAGTATTTCATACTCTAGACTTTTAGAAGGTAGCCCAAAGGAGTCTTCTGCTTTGAGTGTCTAGGGAAGAGACCCATCCCATAACCTTGGCCATCAATTGGTAAAAAGCCATCTAATGATACTTAGGGGTGTTGTAGGATTCCTCAGGCAGGGAGTGATGTAGGGCATTGAGGAGATCTTCAAAAGAGAAAGTGAATGACCACATTGCACTCTACCTGAGATCCATGTATGCCCAGTAGCAAAGGTAGTCTAAGTGGTAGGGGCATAGGAAAGTGAAACTACTGTTTGTTTCTAACTACTGGACAAAACCCATCTGTTATGATTATCAATTTCCACTGAAAAAATATATAGCTACATGGAGAACATATCTACTCAGCACAAAGTCACACTTTAATGAGAACATGCAGCTGGAACAAAACATACATGTTGTGAGAGTACAGAACTAGGCTGAGAACACATGTCATAGTAAGAGCATGTAAGTGTCAGGAGAATATGTGAGAGTGTGGGATTACTGGAAGGACCCTAGGATAAAGTGTGTGTGTGTGTGTGTGTGTGTGTGTGTGTGTGTGTGTGATTTATGGGGGCAGAAATCAGTTTGAACATGGTAGATTTTGAGTGCCAAATGAACTTGTCAGGTGGGCAATTGAATTTGAACCTAAAGTTCAAAGGAGAGATCAGTCAGAAATGAAAATAATTCATTTCCTCAGCATACAGATGGCATTTGTGAGCTCATCAAGGGGATACCGGTGTTTAGAGAAGAAAAGGGGCCAAAATAGGGATTCTTCTCTTTTAGAGATAAGACTGAAGAGAATAGTCAAAAAGATAAGTGGACACTGGAAGAGTGTGGGATCCTAGGAGCCAGGATCCAAAACAGGTGCTCAAAGAAAGGAGGGCTGGGGATGCAGCTCAGTGGTTGTCTAGTTTGCATGGACTCTGGATTAGGTCCCCAGCATGACATAAACTGGGCATGGTGGCACATGCCTGTAATCCCAGTACTTTGGAAAGGGGGTCAGAATTCCAAGAAAGTCATCTGGAGCTCTACAGCATAAATGAGGTCTTGTCTCAAAAAAGGGCGAGAGGAGAGTGAGCAGTCAAATGCTGCTGAGGGCTAGAGTCATGGGGAGACAGAACATTAACCATTAGATAGGAGGGTATTGGTGACTTTGATAAGAACACTTTTAATTGAGGATGGAAACAGAGGTATAATTAAAGACCAATTAGGCAAAGAGGGCAAATGAAAGTCTCAACAATCCCTTTAACAAGTTATGAAAATGGGAGATGAGAGGACTCGGGAGATGGCTCAGTGGTAAGTGTGCTACCTACACAGGATGGGGATCTGAGTTCGAATCCCCAGCACCCATGTAAGAAACTGGATATAGCCAGGTACATACTTGTCACCCCAGTGCTGTGATAGGCAGAGACAAGAGGATCTCTGGGGCTTGCTGGCTGCCAGCCTAACTCCAGGTGCAGGGTGAGATTCTGTCTCAAGAGAATAAGGTGGAATGTAATGGAGCAGACACCTGACATCTTCCCTTGGCCCTTGGTGTGTGTGCATGCACACATACACACACATGCACACACACACACATGCACACACACACATGCACACACACACACTCGTCTATGTACCACACACAATACAGCACATACATACACCATAATACTGTAAAAAGAAAAGGGGAAAAGAAAGGAGGATGCTAGCCTGACTCCTTCCTTTGCCTCTTGGCACCTCACAGGACTCAGAAGACAGCAGGCTGAGAGCACTCATTTGAATGCTTGCTATGGTGTTTCACTTTCAACCTGTGGCTGCTCCATCTCATTATCTATGACCAAATCTCAGCACATGGAAGGCTGAGCTATTCAAGGAGCCTCTTCCAAACCTCATGATATTGGACTTATCTGGACTTTGCCCGCTGTTTCTATCAAACTCCTGCTGACTCCAGCTCCAGTGGAGCCATAGTTCCCCAGTGTTGCTGGCCAAGGCTCACTCTCCCACTTACCCAACCTCTTCTTTTCTGGCTTCTGGATGTATCCGATCACTCTCACGTCTCAGCCTTCCAACTTGCACTAGTCTATTTGCTGTCTGTGCTTTTACCTCTAGCACTAGCACTACCTCTACTTCTACAGAGTCCCACTACTGGCGTCTGGACAGCAGTCGTGATGGGTGGCATAGTTGGCCTATTGCTCACCAATGGCCCCAGGGTCCTTCAAAAGTCGATGCCGCCTTTTCCTGGGAGGATAAAACCTATCTGATCCAGGTACATGTTGGGAAAAAGGCCTGAGATGGAAACTTGGATAAGACTCTCCAGGTCTACGTTGAATGCACATCTTTGTACCCTAGGGCACCCAGGTATATGTCTTCCTGACAAAGGGAGGCAACACTCTAGTAAGTGGTTATCCAAAGCGGCTGGAGAAGGAACTTGGGAGCCCTCATGGGATCAGCCTTCAGACTGTGGATGCAGCTTTTACCTGCCCTGGCTCCTCCCAGCTCTACATCATGGCAGGTGAGGGACTTTTGGGTGCTAAGGGAGGTTTGTTCTACTACCTCTTTACAGATTACCAGCAGAGAATGAGAAAAGTGAAGTCAGGATCCCTATAACACAGAAGCCATATTAAGTTTGGTGTCTTTTCCCCAGAGCGTCGGCTGTGGTGGCTGGACCTGAAGTCAGGAGCTCAAGCAATATGGACAGAGCTTTCTTGGCCCCATGAGAAAGTTGATGGGGCCCTGTGTATGGAAAAGTCCCTTGGCCCCAACTCATGTTCTGCCAATGGTCCCAGCTTGTACATTGTCCATGGCCCCAATTTGTACTGCTACAGCAATATAGAGAAACTGAATGTGGCCAAGACCCTTCCTCAGCCCCAGAAAGTAACTGTCCTCCTTGGCTGCAGCCACTGACGAGCCCTGACAGGAATCGACATAGCCCAGCCCACCTCCCCATTTTCCTCCCAATAAAGCCAGATTGACTCTTCATATGAACCTTGGGACCTTGACTGTAGAAGAATCTTCTTTATGTGAGTTGAAAAGTTCATTGCTTTTTTTTTTTTTTTTTGAGGCTCTCAACCTCAGCCAAGGACATGGAAAGAGCAAGGGAAGGCCTGAAGGACAAACCTTCACAGATGACCTTAAATCCAGACCACAGGCCTTTCTTGCTTGCTTTT